GAGAAACAAATTAAAATAAGGACTGTAACAGGATCTATGATAAGGCAACTAGAATGATTGGATAGAAAAGAAATATATTGATGTGATTATTATTTTTAGGACTATTGGGAAAAAATTATATATTTAATTGTTATCTGTCAAAACAATAATTGTATTAACTCAATGTTTGCAAAAGAGGATATTTTGGGAAAAGAGAAAATGAACTAAAACTATTATGTGGATTATGGATTATAGAAATCAATTGTTAGTGATTGTTTTACAAATGTAACCCAGACAACACACTGTTCACCAATTATTAAGTGATTTATGTTTTAAAAAAAATCAATAAAATATATTACAAAAAAAAATGTTTAGATGCCATTAAGTTGTTTTTGACTCCTAGCAACCACATAGATCAGGGGTCTTCAAACTTGGTCCTTTTATGACTTGTGGACTTCAACTCCCAGAATTCCTCAGCCAGACATACTGGCTGAGGAATTCTGGGAGTTGAAGTCCACAAGTCATAAAAGGGCCAAGTTTGAAGACCCCTGACATAGATAGATTTTCTCCACTTTGATATATCCTTATCCTGTTCTTTCAGGTCTCCCAAAGGTGTGCTTATTGCTACTATAACTCAATCCATTCAACTTGTTGCTGCTTGTCCTCTTCTTCTCTTTCCTTCTGTTTTTCCCAGAGCTTTTTCCAAACAGCTGGGTTTTCATGTATTGTGTTGGAAAAGGGATCATTTGATCCTGGTCATTTGTGACAACTCTGGGTTAGTTCGTTCAATGATCCATCGGTTTGTTTTCTTGGCTGCCCGTGAAAACAACACAGCGTTCAAAGGCATCAGTGCTCTTGCTGTTGTGCTTCTGCATCATAGACCTTGATGTAATGGAGGGATTAACATCTTCCTTGATGGCCCTCTCCTGTCAACTGTTGGCGTCCCAATTGCTAACTTGAAAGACAAACTTCTCAAATTCATTCCGTGCAACTTGTGGAAAGGGAACAGATTTCCCTTTAAAAAAATGAGGAAAGACATTATATTAATTAATTAAAAGAAACAGACCAAATAAAAGAGGAGGTGGAGTTGCTCTCTATATAAGAAATAACTACATCTCTACAGAAATAGAGCACAACAATGATGAAAACTGTCTTGAATGCATTTGGGTCAATATAAAAGGGGGAGGGAAATGACATTGCCATAGGTGTATACTCTAGGCCACCCAACCAAACAGAGGTAATAGATGAACTTTTTGCTAATCAGTTAACTAAGGTATGTAGGAAGCACATCACAATAGTAATGGGGGACTTTAATTACCCTGACATCACTGGGAGACAAACTCTGCACCAAGTGGAAGTTCAAACAGATTCCTGACAAACCTAGCAGACAACTTTGTCTCCAGAGGACTGGAAAAGAGCTGATGTAGTTCCCATCTTCAAAAAAGGAAAACAAATATGGATCCAGGAAACTACAGACCTATCAACCTGACCTCAATACCTGGGAAGATTCTGGAAAAGATAACTAAGCAATGGATCAGCGAACACCTAGAGGAAAACAAAGAGTAATGGTTTTCGGTTGTACCCAAACAGTTTTTGTCTAGTACGGTCTGTTTAGAATAACGTAAGAAACTGGTCCACTGTTTTAATCACCTGGTCTCCTTACGACACCTATATTAAATGAACCTGAAGTCATTCCGTAAACTATTTCATCTGGTGTTGGATGATGAACTATTCTATCTTTTTACACCCAATGACAGCATTACCCCCAGATGGATTTGTAGCTGGCTGACCAGCCGTACTCAGCATGTGGTCTTCAGTGGAACTGCATCTACATGGAGGGAAGTGTGTAGTGGGGTGCCCCAGGGCTCTGTTCTGGGCCTAGTGCTCTTCAGCATCTTCATCAATGATTTGGATGAGGGGATAGATGGGGAACTCATCAAATTTGCAGATAACTCCAAGCTGGCAGAAATGCCAACACTCCAGAAGATAGGCTTAAGATATTGAAGGATCTTGACAGACTTGAACATTGGGCACTATCTAACAAAATGAAATTCAATGGTGAAAAAAGTAAGGTTCTACATTTAGGCAAGAAAAACCAAATGCACAGGTATAGTATAGGTGGTACCTTGCTCAATAGTAGTAACTGAGAGAGGGACCTCGGAGTCCTAGTGGACAATCGCTTAAATATGAGCCAGCAGTGTGCTGCAGCTGCCAAAAAAGCCAACACAGTGCTAGGCTGCATTAACAGAGGAATAGAATCAAGATCACATGAAGTGTTAATACCACTTTACAATGCCTTGGTAAGGCCACACTTGGAATACTGCATCCAGTTTTGGTCACCACGATGTAAAAAAGGTGTTGAGACTCTAGAAAGAGTGCAGAGAAGAGCAACAAAGATGATCAGAGGACTGGAGGTTAAAACATAAAAGGAACGGTTGCTGGAATTGAAGAGAAGGACGAGGGGGAACATGATAGATAGCAGTGTTCCAATATCTCAAGTGTTGCCACAAAGAAGAGGGAGTCAAGCTATTTCCAAAGCATCTGAAGGCAGGACAAGAAGCAATGGATGGAAACTAATCAAAGAGAGAAGCAACTTAGAATTAAGGAGAAATTTCCTGACAGTGAGAACAATTAATCAGTGGAACAATCTGTCTCTAGAAATTGTGAATTCTCCAACACTGGAAGTTTTTAAGAAGAGACTAGACAGCCATTTGTCTGAAATGATATAGGGTTTCCTGCCTGAGCAGGGGGTTGGACTAGATGACCTCCAAGGTCCCTTCCAACTTCTATTATTATTATTATTATTATTAATCATCACACAGTCAGTCAGATGTTGAGACTGGATTTGAGATTTTTGTCTACCTATCAAGTCCTTACCCAGGACCTGGGATAGGCAGATGTGGATGTTTGATGGTATTACAGATATCGTTGCAGGATGGAAGCTGTTCCTAGTAAGGCCGCCTTTTCAATTGACTAATGGCGAATTTGTCAATGCCAATGGTGTTCAAGTGGTGCTCCAGTTGTTTTGGGATTGCACCCAAGGCGCCTGTTACTATTGGTACTACCCTTGCTTGCCTTTGCCACAGTCTTTCTATTTCTATTTGCAGGTCTTTGTATTTTGTTATCTTCTCCAGTTCTTTCTTGTCTATTCTGCTGTCTCCAGGAACTGCCACATCCACTATCCAGACTTTTTTGTCTTTATATTATTATTGTTGTTGTTGTTGTTGTTGTTGTTGTTAACTTGGTGAAACTAGTTTATTGACCCAGAATTTGCCCCTTTGTAAGCCCTCTTCTGGTAAGCAAAAAATGTTCACTGTTGTCAACCAATTTGGGACACTAGCCACTTGTTGACCATGACACATATAGCTCTGGCTTCTGTTTTTCCTGCAATAAATATATTGTACTTTCTGTGTTGTGGAGAGGGAATGGTGTTCTTCGAACACTTTTAAAATAGTAGCATCAATATCCTTTGCAGTCATTGAACAGCTTTGCACTTTTTGACAACATCACTGACTGTCTAGAAAAATCCTAATAATGATCAGGAATTTCTCTAAAATCTGGGTTAACACCCCTTTTGCAAAGGCAAGGGCTGAATCAAATGATTGTGGATTCAGATTTTTCTTTTTTCTTTTTTTTCTTTTTTTCCCCTTTTGTTATCAGATCTTTTTATTTCATTTTACAGTCCTCCTGAGAGAATTCTAGTACATTACGATAAGCTGACCATTTATATTTAGTTATCATATCTTGTCTATGAAATGCTTCTGGCACTGAAAGCTACAAAGGTATTTTGGGGCAGAATTTAAATGTATATTTATTCCATATTCTTTTTTTTTTCAAATATAAATTTTTATTATTTTCATCATAAAAAAAAGCACATCACAAATACATCACAATGTAAAAACCCTACCCCCCACCCCCCACCCCCGGACTTCCCAAACCAATCCCAGGATACTATTCAACTAAAAGTAAACTAGTATTAATATCCCTAACTCCACAAAATATTATTCTACATAAATAGGTGAAATATATAAAAAATTTTTTTATCTAAAAACCTAAATTATATTCCACCATTCTATGCTTATTTTGAATATAAGGATTCAGATTTTTCTTGAACCAGAAATTACTTGTAGGTCTGCGAGACATTTGAAATAATGCAAACTGACCACACGTAGACTTAGTTTTGTTCAAAGTGACAACAGCATTGAAAAAAGTGACTTATGACCAGTTTTCACATTTATGACCACTACAGCATCCCCAGAGTCACATAATCTAAAGTTTGGGCACTTGGCAACTGGGCATATATTTACGATAATTGCACTGTCTCAGGTCATGTGATCACCATTTGTAATTTCCCCTTCAGCTGCTGACAAGCAAAGTCAATGGGGGAAAGTCAGATTCACTTAACAACAGCCTGATTTACTTAGCAACTGCAGTGATTCATTTACAAACTGGCAAAATCATAAAATGGAGCAAAACTCTCATAACAATTGCCTCACTTAGCAGTGATCATTTTGGGGCTCAATTGTGGTTGTAAATTGAGCACTATCTGTAATGGTGTTCTTTAAAGGTAAGATAAGATAAGATAACCTTTATTGTCATTTTTTTTTTACTGTGGGCACAACGGCACACGTCAAAAATGAAATCTAGTTGCCCACTCTCAAAGTGAAACAAACACATACATGACACACACCTGAACATCATACTATATACAATGTATGTACAGACCCACGCCCCTACATATACATAACAAATAAGTATTAAATACTGTCCATCTTGAATATATAACAGAAGGTTGGTACAAAATATAATGGGCTTTGAACTATAGAAGCTGCTTTATGAATATGGAGTACTGCATTTTAATTTTGTTTTCCTTTTGGCATGACAAGGTAAGCAGATGATGCAGGAAATACCTTATTTTGCAAGATAAATTGGTGTTGAAGAAAGAAAGAAAGAAAGAAAGAAAGAAAGAAAGAAAGAAAGAAAGAAAGAAAGAAAGAAAGAAAGAAAGAAAGAAAGAAAGAAAGAAGCTGCTTTCATTCATTGGCTTCTGTGGATAAATCTCGACTTTCCTCACTCCTGCTCAAAGAAGATGCCTGTGATAATCGATCAGCTCCAGATGAATCAAACAAGGGGTAGGTAGAGTATTGCAAAGCCATTGGTCACAGCTATCCAACAGTCTCATCTTGTGGAGGGGTGAATATTAGCTGGTTGTAATAGTCTTGCTGTAGGGCAGGGGTCTCCAAACGTGGCCCTTTTATGACTTGTGGACTTCAACTCCCAGAATTCCTCAGCCAGGTACGCTGGCTGAGGAATTCTGGGAGTTGAAGTCCACAAGTCATAAAAGGGCCACGTTTGAAGACCCCTGCTGTAGGGCATGGTAGACATTCTGCTGCCTCCATCCTCTTTGTTAAGGCCAGATTAACAGAGTTTGATGCGAGTGCAACTCTGTTTATACTTTTTGTAGTAATGGAACCGTATAATCCAGAGGTGTTCTAGAGAAACTCCTTTGGCTCACTCATGTTTTTACAGCTGGTGCGGAAATTACGATTGCTCAGGGCAAAACTGGAATAGACGTGGGTTGTGTATGTTGTAGGCTGATTTCTCCATTATGTAGATTTACTATAGAAAGCTCTGGATTTTTTTCTTCTTCTTTGAATGGCGTTTCCTAGAAATGCTGTAGATATCGCACATCAAGGGAAGGTGTCCAGGTTGACATGACTTTCATCTTTTTAGCAGCTGGATCCGAATCCCTCTCAGGTCTGTAGCAATGTGATTGTACACTACTTTGACAAATAACTGTATAAAAGTCACTGAGGAGATAAAATAGGAAATGTGGATTAATTTTGGTCACTTGAAATTTTCCCGTTTTTTGGGAAGTGCCCTGAACTGGCCCATTTAGAATTCTGAATGTCCTCTTGCTTCCGATGCCTTTAGAAGGTTTATTAGCCGTCATGCCATCCATTTCTTGGCTTCTCAGCTCTTGGCTGTCTAGATCAGGGCTTTTCAACCTTTTCACCCATTGTACCACTTTTAGGATATGGCAATATCTGAGTACCATCAGTCGCCTAGCAAGGTGTCAAAAACTTGATGACCAAAAAAAAAAGGAAAAAAGTGATAGGTAGTCCTCGACTTACAACAGTTTGCTTAGTGACTGTTCGAATTTACAATGACACTGAAAAAGTGCCCCCCAAGGCACAACCAAGCAAAACACCTGCCTGCCCACCCGGCGGCGCTCTTCCTCCTGTCCGAGGTTTTCATTGTTGTGAGCATTTCTGTTGAGGATTGGCAGTGGGGGTGGGGTGGGGGGTGTTTGGTTTTTATTCCCCCCGTTTGCTGGGTGGTTGCAGCAGGTTTTGGTCACTTCACATGACCCTGGGACACTGTGACCGTCATAAATATGAATCAGTTGCCAAGTATCTGAATGTAAATCACAAGACCCTGGAGATGATGCAACATTCCAGCTGATCGGCGCTTTTTCTGGGCTCAGCAGAAGCGTCAGGATCAGCGCTGAGCTCCAGCTGGACCCTGGCACTGATCCTGGTGCTTCCGCTGAGCCCTGACAGCCCTGCAGCTCCAGCCATCTCTCGCTCAGGCTTGTGCGGTGCTGCCACCGGTTCAACTCATTCCCCTCCCCCGCTACCACTTTTCTAGGATGGTCGCGTACCACCTGCCAGGTGCCAATGTACCACAGGTGGTACCCGTACCACTGGTTGAAAAGCCGTGGTCTAGATCCTTCACAGTCCTGCTATGCTTCTTAGTAGGATGTCCTCCTCGGCTATCATCTTTGTTAATGTTGACTTTTTTTTTTTGAAGTGAAGCCTCTTTGAATTTCAGCATTTCGGAGAGGGGACAGGTAGCCCCTTGACTTAGAGCCATTCATTTAGTGACCGTTCAAAGTTACAACAGCGCTGAAAAGAGTGAGCGACTTTTTCACACCTGCAACCACGGCAGGATTCCCTACGGTCACATGATCAAAATTTGGCCACTTGGCAGCAAGTGTCCCCGGGTCAGGCAAGCTTTGCGACCTTCTGACAAGCAAAGTCAACAGGGGAGCCAGGTTCACTTAACAATCAAGTTACTCACTTAACCATTGCAGTGGTTCACTTAACAACTGTGGCAAGAAAGGTCGTAAAATGGGGCAAAACTCACTTAACTCTCTTGGTTAGCAGCGGATAATTTTAGGCTCAATTGTGGTTGTAAGTTGGGGGCCACCTAACTTCCCAAGTTCAGAGAAGGACTAATTTCCATTTGTCATCACACTCTTTCAGTGTCGTACATGAAGAGCACATGTATGTTTTCTAGAGAAGGGGCGGGATGTCTATAAAATATAATGTTAAACTGTGAACCTGGTTGGTTCTGACTACAACGTTCCTCCCCCTCTGTGTTACAGAAGCCATGGCCACCACAAATCCTCTGGAGACCCTCCAAGTGGAAGCCAGCTGTTCTGTCTGTCTGGAGTACCTGAAAGACCCTGTGATCATTGACTGTGGCCACAACTTCTGCCGGGTGTGCATCACCCGCTGGTGGGAGGACTTGAACCGAGACTTCCCGTGCCCTGTGTGCCGTAAGACTTTCCGCCACCGCTCTCTGAAGCCCAACCGGCAGCTGGGCAACATGGTAGAGATTGCCAAGCAACTCCAGGTCACCAATAAGCGAAAGATACGGGATGAGAACTTATGTGAGAAGCATAATGAAGTGCTTCGCCTCTTCTGTAAGGAAGACCAGGAGGCCGTTTGCTTAGCGTGCGAGATCTCCCACGAACACCGTTCCCACACAGTTGTGTCCTTGGATGACGCCTCTCAGGAATACAAGGTAGGATGATGGCACTGACACACAGTGGGTACAAAGCTTTCCTGGCTAAACTGACTGCTCTGATAAAAGGGGAAAAAAACAACAAGTTTTTTTTTGTTTCCACTTGGAAACCGATTCTGGACTTTGTGCTTGAGGTGGAAAAAAAAATGAAACTTTGATTTTGGGGTTTTACCGATTAGATAGGTTTGTTGATATGGAAATGGCTAGTTCAGGGGTAGGCAACCTTGGCTCTTTTATGACTGGTGGACTTCAACTCCCAGAATTCCTGAGCCAGCCGTGCTGAGGGGAAAGGGAGAGGTTTCCAAGCTGATCCATGCTGGCTCAGGAATTCTGGGAGTTGAAGTCCACGAGTCATAAAAGAGCCAAGGTTGCCTACCCCTGGGCTAGTTTATACTACTATGTAAAAGTAAAAAGCTGAGGTTTGATGCTATTATCTTATTTTATTGCACCAAAGGGAATCAGAAGTCAATGTGCCTTTTCTTTCTTTTTTCCCTTCTTTTTTGCACTCTCCCCTTCCCCTTTCCCTCCCCTGTCTTTCCTACTATTTGTTTTTGTATTGTATTTTATAGTATAAACCGAGGGTGTCAAACTCATAACGTCACGTGACGTGTCACGACGCATCGTGACTTTTTTGCCATTGCCGGCAATGTGGGTGCGGTTTCGCTATGATGCATCTGGCCTGCGGGCCGGCAGTTTGACACCCCTGGTATAAACAAATAAAAAAGAGTAAAGGTAATGGGTACAAAGCTTTCCTAAAATCCAGAGGAGGAGTAAAGATCACTATGACTGGCAGTAACACAGGTAATCCTTGACTTATAACTGGTCGCTTAGCGACTGCTTACATGACCACATTTTAGGCTGTTAGCAGCATCCCATCGTTTCAACTGATCACAACTTGCAATGTTTTTGCCAGGAATTGACAGTTCCTTTTTCCAACAAAAACACCTCATAGCAAACAGCAGGCTTTGCTTAACCACTGCAGAGTTTGCTGTATGATTGCCACGTTGCTTAAAAGCCTCTTCAAAAGAAAGAAAGAAAGAAAGAAAGAAAGAAAGAAAGAAAGAAAGAAAGAAAGAAGGAAGGAAGGAAGGAAGGAAGGAAGAAAGAAAGAAAGAAAGAAAGAAAGAAAGAAAGAAAGAAAGAAAGAAAGAAAGAAAGAAAGAAAGAAAGAAAGAAAGAAAGAAAGAAAGAAAGAAAATTGAGTGGGTCATGACTTACAACCATAATTGGCAGGCTTTGTTACGGTCATAAATTGAGGACTACCCGTATCTCTGTTTTTTCTTGGTTCGGTATCAAATGAGTTTGCGTACTATCGGTATATATCTTCTCGTTTTGATCAGTTATAGCCTGACATTTTGCTTTAAAAAACGATACTCAGAGCCTCTTCTGTAACAAGAGTGTTCGTGATCACGTCTTCTTTCGAAGTATCGTAGAACAATCTTTTCTAACCCAGTTTGCTCCAGAGGTGTTGGGGTTATAAGTTCTAATTGTGTCAGTGAAGGTGGTCTTTGCATGCATGTTTGTAGTTCTGTGGTTCCCACATAGCTAGAAAATGCTAGTCTGGAGAAGCAACTTTAAACTCACGAATGAAAGCGAATAGACGTGTCCCAGGATAATGTTGCAGGATCCAATCTGGGTCGGTCACCGGGACCAGCGGTTTTTAGTCTTCCGAGCTTTTGGACTCATGCCCAACAAATCCCCAACTTTAAATGGTTGAAGGCATTTTGCTTCAGCCTTGCTCTCCATTTGTTTTTCTGTTTTTATTCCCCCCCTCAAAAAAAACCTGGTGTTCAAGTATTCAGTAGCTCCTGGTGACCTTTAAGAATGATTAACTTTTGAGATTTATTTTTATATTTCTTCAAATCTCAGTATTCCCCTGAATACCTATTTTAGCTTGGCAAACTCATTTGAGTTCCAGTTCTGTTAGCTCCTTGAGAAGAGGCCAGATGTATCAGTATCAGTTACATTAAATACATCAATATGAAAGATAGTGTGGTACTAGATCAAAATATTAATACCCGGGTTTCCCTGAAAATAAGACCCGGTCTTATTTTTTTTATTTATTTTTTTGGTTCCAAAAGAAGCACCAGTTCTTATTTTCGGGGGATATCTTTTCCATGGTCTCACCTCATGGTGGCAGCACTGACAGCCCCGCCCAGCTGTCCCACTTGTTCTGCAGCCGCTAGGGAGCGCCGCGCATGTCAGTCGGGAGCTCGTTTCTCAGCTGCAGAGGCCTTTCCTGAATATGGAGCCCGGGGGTGACACGTGCGTCAATCCGGAGCGCCATTCTCAGCTGCAGAGGCATTACATGAAGGCCTCTGATGGCAAAATGGAGATTGGGGAGTGATGCGCGAGTAGCTGCGGAAGAAGTGGGCTGGTGAGGCAAGTGTCAGGGCATGGGGGGCCTGGCTGCAACTGTAAATGGGTGCGGGGCACTTGGGGTAGCTCCACCTCCCTACCCTAGCTTGATTTTTAGGCGTGCGCCTCACCCCAAAACTAGGCCTTATTTTTGGGGTAGGGCTTATATTAGGTCCACCCCCCCCCAAAATCAAGCTAGGGCTTATTTTTGAGGTAGGTCTTATTTTCAGGGAAACACCGTGTCAACGCTGCTAACATCAGATGTTCTTGCTTTGACAATATATGATGATGCAGCCATTTTCTCTTTAACCTGTGTGTTACTTTTAGAGTTAGAATTAGATGATGCTGGAGGGGAGGGGGAAGAATGTGTGTGGGGATTAGTTAGACATAAGAACATCGCAGTAGAGTATTCTTTAAGGTTGTTTGAAATAAGATGATAAGTAATGGCCGGGTTATAGAACTGGAAGGAAGGTTTGCATTTCAAACTAATTGGAGAATGTGATTTATGACTGTTAATTGGAGGGAGGGAATTGTGCTTTGATACTATGTGTTTAGGGGAGGGGAATTCAGATTTTGGCTTCGACCATGTACGTGCCGATGCCATGTTACTTGAATAAAGATTCTTTAAGGTAAACAATGCCTCAAAGTTCTTTGAAGAGTAACATCTGTCGGAACCATGACACACCGTAGTTGATTCTGGTTTGTTTATTAGAGCACGGGTCCCCAACCCCCGGGCCATGGACCACTACCAGGTCCTGGCATGCCAGCAACCGGTCCGCACAAACAAGGAAAGCCCCATCCACAGGATGCAGACAGCACACAAAACCACGCCCCCTCCGGTCCGTGGAAAAATCTCTCTCCACAGAACTGGTCCCTGGTGCCCCAAAGGTCGGGGACCTCTGTATTAGAGGACTTCAGGACTTCAGGCAGAATTCAATAATTGGATATGAGGTAGAGATTGAACTTCAGGCTTCTGTGCAAGACTGAGCTATGGTCTTTTCTATAAGATTGAAATTACGCCTATCTAATTCTGGCTGTGGGGTGGCATGTGAATATTAATAACTTTTTTTAAAAAAACAAAAACCTCTAGTTCAGGGATTGGGTATTGGTGGCTCGGTTGAAGATCAATTCTTAAATTCAATTCTTTTTTTTTTTGTATTGAAAATTTTATAAAATTTTACAATATAAATCCCCCCTTCCCCAACCCACCCTTCCACTCCCCCCTCCCTCCCCCCTCACTTCCCAGTGCCAATCACAGGGTTAACAATAAAATAATCATACTCTAACTAACATTAATCAACTATTAAAATAACATATCTATAACCTCCTTTAACTCTCTTTTAAACAAATATACANCCATTCTTCTATAGTGGGTAAACGTTCCGTTTTCCAATATTGAGCTACTAGTAGTCTTGCAGCAGTTATAAAGTTCAACATCAATTCCATTTCTTTTGCATCCAAGTCTTCCATAATACCCAACAAAAATATCTGCGGCTTAAACTTTATCTTTTTCTTAAAAATATTTTGAATATTCCACCATATCTTAATCCAAAATTCAATTCAATTCTTAAACGAGTAAGATTTGGAATGGGAGATTTTTATGAAAAAAAAAATCCTTTTCATATCATTATGGGTGAACTGTATCTTCCTCAATCTTGGGTTCCCTACCAGAGTTCTAGGGGTTTGAGGGTTCTGTGCAGTGAGTATCCTAGCTGTTCCTGGGACTGCCCTCTTCTGGACAGAGAGCATTGGGGTGTTCCTGGGAACTGTTGGAGCTGAAACTGTCCCAGCTTAGGAGTCACAGCCTCAAGTTCTCTACCATCGCTGAAACCATTTTGGCCTTTGCTGTCCACATGCTCACTAGTTCCTCTTTCAGGCGCTGGTACTTCTGCAGATTCTCATACTCCTCTTTCCTGATGTTGCTGTCACATCCTGCCCTCTTTCTGGCTAGTATATAGTCTCTGTAGTTGGACTTGGGGTGGAAACCTCCATACTTTGTGAGGAACCTCTGGGTCTTCACATCAGTAGCCTCCATGCCCTTTTTTGGGTCTGTACCGCTGCTCTTGTAGCCAAGCATTTCTAGAACTACAGCAGCTGTGCATGTATCGGTTTGTTGATATCAGGAAGTGTCATACGAGCTCTGTTGGCATCTTTTAACATATCATCTAATGAAAGTTCTTCACTGAGCCTTGATAATCAGTGTTGAGAGTTTACTGTAGCTAATTTGATGCTTCGTATTAGCTGCTATGCTTGTAATAAAGGGGATGGCAGTGCTGTTCCAGCTTCAGGTATGGGCTGCACATCCAGTTGTTCTTCTGGGTCTTCTGCCTGGGAGGTTAATGTGTAGTTGGTCTATCTCAAGTTGTGAGAGCAACTTCTTCACTATGTTGAATTGTTGAGTAACCAGCTGTTTCTTAGGGTGGATGCAGGTCTTCTATTCATCCGTAGTTCCCCGATGCATTTCATATATCCCCTGTCAGTAGGTCTACTGTCGTAGCATTCCATCAGTTCCAGGTTCTTTTGTCTCCTCTATGTATAGATTGTTCTAGTAGCCCACTTACTGTCAGATTATTCTGGTTCTGGTCCATCTTACATGGACCTTGTTAATCTAGGCAACATCTAAGCTCTCATGACTCTCCTGTTGTTGTTGTTAATTGCGAAGTCGTGTCCGACCCATCGCGACCCCATGGACAACGTTCCTCCAGGCCTTCCTGTCCTCTACCATCTTCTGGAGTCCATTTAAGCTCACGCCTAGTGCTTCAGTGACCCCATCAAGCCACCTCATTCTCTGTCATCCCCTTCTTCTATTGCCCTCAATTTTTCCCTGCATCAGGCTCTTCTCCAGTGAGTCCTTCCTTCTCATTAGGTGGCCAAAGTATTTGAATTTCAACTTCAGGATCTGGCCTTCTAAAGATCAGCCGGGGTTCATCTCTTCTAGGACTGACCGGTTTGAATGCCTTGCAGTCCAAGGGACTCGCAGAAGTCTTCTCCAGCACCATGACTCTCCTACTTCATGTCATTCTCTAATTCTGATATCTAATTTCAGAAGAAGGTACAACTTATTTAATAATGCCATTTAAAGTTAAGGAACTAATTCAAGAGTTGAAGGCGATGGGAGAAAAGGAAAAGGGAATACCAACTAATTTTTCCAGGCACAAATATATTTTATATATCCAGACATAGTTTACCTACAGCTGTATAATAGGACTAAGAATACAAGGGAAAAGCTTAGATCAGGGATTCCCAAACTTTTCAACTTATCAACTGCCCAGAGTTTGCTGGGAAGAGCTACAATCTGTGAGTTAAGAAGGAGGAGGGTGGAGGAGGAAAATAGCTGAGCCCCTGCTGATTGGACCTCCATTGCATTTAAACTGCCCAGAGGTTGCTGGGAAGAGCTGCAATCTGTGAGTCTTATTTATTTTATTTTTTGCCTCCAAAAAAGGCATTAAGTTTTATTATCGGGGGATGTCTTATTTTTTCCACTGTCTTGCTTTGCGGTGGCGGCAGCACCAGCAGCCCCATCCAGGAGGATGGGGCTGTTGGTGCCGCCATGAGGCAAGGCTGGTGTTGGGGCATGGGAGGCCTAGCTGCAGCGGTCCTGAGATAAGTGGGTGTGGGGTGTGTGGGGCAGCTCTGCCCCCCACCCCGCCCTTGCTTGATTTTTACGTGTGCTCCTCACCCCACCTCGTGCAGCCAGATGGTAGGACGGAGTGGGTGGGGTCTTAACTAGATCTTATTTTGGGGGCAGGACTTATATTAGGCGCATGCGTAAAAATCGAACTAGGTCTTATTTTCAGGATAGGTCTTATTTTGGGGAAAACATGGTACTATATTAGTGGTTCTCAACCTTCCTAATGCCGCGACCCTTTAATACAGTTCCTCATGTTGTGGTGACCCCCAACCCTAAGGGCTCTCCAAGCGTGCACCGACGCCGCCCACTCACCCGCCGCATCCGGGGCTCAGCGCGCCTCGCCTGTCCTCGCCTCACTTCCGAAGGTCGCCGGCAGGAAGGCCACTCCGCCGGCTCCACCCAGCCTGGTTGGAGAAGCGCCCAGGCGGGGAGAGAGAGAGAGAGAGAGAGCCAAGAGGGCGACAGCACCGGCAGAGCTTAGTTCAGCCTCCTCCGTGGAAAGGGCCGCGAAGCAGCGCAGCCTCCCTTAGGAGATGCTCGACGGAAACGAATCCGGCGCTGCAACGGCCCCCAGCCTGAAGCCGTGCAGAGACGGATAGAGGAGCGGTGTCTCAGTTCCTAAGACCATTGGAAATATGTGTTTTCCAATGGTCTTAGGCGACCCCTGTGAAAGGGCCGTTCGACCCCCAAAGTGGTCGCGACCCACAGGTTGAGAACCGCTGTACTATATGAAAATAATTTAATAAATGCTACTTTACTATTACTACTGATAATAACCATTTTGGATAATCCTTATTGACTCTTGGGGTCAGTATAGACCATTTTGGGGAACCTTGCTTGGATCAATCAATCTATGTATTTGTTAAAATCCCAGTGCATATTTAGCTTTTTTTTTTTTCTAAATGACTGTTTCCTTTCTTCCTATTCTCCATCTCTTCTTGGAGAAGAGATGGTGTTAGTGTTAGGAGTCAGTCTGAAAAGATATGCTAACTTCTCTTGGGATGGAAGGCACAAGAACAAATGGAGTTGCCCCCTTTTTCAATCCAGAAACTTTTTTAGTTTGATTCTATAATGCCATCATGGAATCAGGAAATGTTTGAATTCCTAGGTTTTGCTCTTGTCTGCCGTCTACCTAGATTGAACAGGTATAGTTTTGTTTGATAAACGCTTTAGTACCTGAACTTTTGGAAGGTTTTCTTCTTTTTCACTTCTGTTCCTTATACAGTAGTGGCCAAAATTGTGGAAACCTTTTTGGGAAAGTGTATTTTTGAGGTTTGATGGCTAATAACACCACTTTTTTTGGGGGAGTAGTACCATAAAATTATATATCAAAGGAAAAATAATTTAATCAAGAATGTAATGCAACAAAGTTTGTTCAATTATCTGTACTGTATTGTATGAAAAGTTATAGCCAAATCACCGGAAAAAGGAAGCATAACTTGCTTAGGTTGATATCAGGAAGCTTTCCTTCATCTGATTGTAGCCAATGAGCATGAGTGTTTAGAGAGCTAATCAGGTGTCATCTTGTTCTGGCAAGGAGCCAATCAGATCACAGTAGGATTCAGTTATTAATGTCATGTATTGAAGCTGAGAGGAGGACATTTGTCAGTGTGTTATGTGATTGCTATCAAGTTGGTTGGTTTTTTTTCTCTTTCATTTAGTGAGCTTGTAAAACGTAATAAAATTAAAGTAATGGTGCAAAGAGTTGACTGGTTGCCCAGAAAGCGATGTAAAGTAGTAGTATTAAGTGAACAAGGCTACAGTTATAAAGAAATTAGAAGTAAAATTGGTGGAAACTTAACCAAAGGTGGCATTTCTACTGTACACTTTTCCCAAAAGGTTTCCACAATTTTGGCCACTGCCGTAATTGATTTATGATATTTATACATTCATCAATACAGCTTTTGCTCCTAACAACAACTATGAATTACATTAGCTTCATGAAATCTTCATCTATGTGAACTGTATGCAATTGAACATCATTGGAGGAGGAGCATCCACAGAATGGATTGTTTATTTTGTCCTCTCTGCGTTTTCCAAAGCAATCTTGTCACTTAGGCTCTTACCCTCATCATTTTAGTTACCTTTGCAAGCTCTAACTCAGATATGGTACTGTTTTTTTTAATTCAGGAAAAGATGCAGAAATGTTTGGAGCCATTGGAAAAGAAATTGCAAGAGATTGCCCACTGCAAATCCCGAGAAGAAAAGAAGGCCGGGGAACTCAAGGCAGGTGTTGAGTCTTCTGCATACTGTCGAATGACAGAATATTTATTCTTCATTTAATTCTTCACTATAGCCCAAAGAAGAACAGTTTTGAAATGGATGTTAAAACTTCGGCCTTTTGTACCTCTGTCCCCACTTTAGTTAATTTACACATTTTTCTTACAGCTGAGGGTGCTTGTTTACCACACCAGGAGACATTGCCAAATCCTTAAATGATACCCAGGTCAGATAAGAAAGGCCTCTCCTGGTTTCAGAAACATTTAAAGCAGGGTCTTCAACCTTGGCAATTTTAAGACTTGTGGACTTCAACTCTCAGAATTCCTCAGCCAGCATGGAATTCTGGGAGTTGAAGTCCACAAGTCATAAAAAGGCCAAGTTTGAAGACCCCTGCTATATAGAATCTAAATTCTTTTTGCTATGACACTGGGAGTTGAAGTCCACAAGTCTTAAAGTTGCCAAGGTTGGGGAGCTCTGGTTTAAAAGGTATAATATTTCCAAATAGTAACAATACACGTAGTCCTTGATTGACAACCATTCGTTTAGCGATCGCTCAAAGTTGCAATGACACCGGGGAAAAAAAGAATAACCGGTCCTCGTAATTACAACCATCAAAGCATTCTCGTGGTCACATGAGCAAAATCCAGGCGCTTGGCAACCAGTATATATTTATATTTCCAGGGGTCACGTGGTCACCATTTGCAACCTTCCCAGCCAGCTTCGGACAAGCAAAGTCAATGGGGGAAGTTGGTTTCTCTTTAACAACCATGTGATTCACTTAACAACTGCAGCAATTTGCCTAACCGCGGCACAAAGGTCATAAAACCAGGCGCAGCCCTCTTAATAACTGCCTTGCTTAACAGTGGAAATTCTATTCCCAGCTGTGGTCGTAAGTCGAGGACTACCTATAAAGAAACTCTCTCCAATAGGATTTCGAATATAAATTCTTCACAGATATTTAGAGGCGTTCAGAACATCCAGAAAAGTAATACAATAATGCTAAAGCTTATCATAAATGACTGGTCTGTCCAAGAAGCTCAAGAAACAGGACATAGAAATATCTCTCCATCATTATTATTATTATTATTATTATTATTATTATTATTATTATTAATAATAATAATAATAATAATAATAATAATAATAATAATAATAAAGTTGGAAGGGACCTTGGAGGTCATCTAGTCCAACCCCTTGCTCAGGCAGGAAACCCTGCATCAAGGGTAGGCAACCTTGGCTCTTTTATGACTCATGGACTTCAACTCCCAGAATTCCTGAGCCAGCCATGCTGAGGGGAAAGGGAGAGGTTTCCAAGCTGAGCCATGCTGGCTCAGGAATTCTGGGAGTTGAAGTCCACAAGTCATAAAAGAGCCAAGGTTGCCTAGCCCTGCCCTATACCATTTCAGACAACTGGCTGTCCAGTTTCTTCTTAAAAACTTCCAGTGTTGGAGCATTCACAACTTCTGGAGGCAGGTTGTTCCACTGATTAGTTGTTCTAACTGTCAGGAAATGTCTCCTTAGTTCTAGGTTGCTTCTCTCCTTGGTTATCCAACCTTTTCTTCTATGTGTCTGCAGCGGAAGGTTGAGGACCGTCGTCAGCTCGTCATTAGTGAGTTTGAGGACCTACATCTGTTTCTAGCAGAGGAGCAGGAAATATTAATGCAACGCCTAGAAAATGAGGAGAAGGAAATTTTACAGAAGTTGAAGGAAAATGTGGCGGAGTTGTCAGAGCAGCGGATTGCCCTCAACAGCCTTATCACTGAAATCGAGGAGAAGTGTTTGCAGTCGGGCATGGACATGCTCAAGGTACGAGCTCCTCCAAAAATTTAATCGCTTCTGTCCGTGAATCAGAGAATGAAATGCGTTCTGGGAGGAAACTGGGCGTTTCTGGTAGAATTCAGATTGTTTTGGCATATAACAAAAAGTGAGTTTAAAATCGGAGGGAAAAACCTGGGAGATTTTAAGAAATGTCCGTAGGAAAATGCTTTCTGAGAATATATATTCAACTTTGCAAGAACTCTAGATACCACATGTAATTTTCTGCCTGCCCTAGCTGCTCCTAGCTAGTCTTGAGTTATGACTGGACATCTAATGACTGTCCGAAGTTACAGTGGCCTTGCAAAAGGTACTTTATAGCCTATAAAGCCTTTCCAGCTGTGGTAAAATATTGTACCAGGCCCCTCCATGGTCACATTACCACATTTTTGGGTGTTTGGCCAGTGACCATCACAGACAGTTGCAATATCCTGCAGTCATGCATGTGGAAGTTTTTTATTTTGCTGATTTTTGACCAAAAAAAAATCATTTGAGAGAACGGATTCACTTAACGACTGTGTGATTTGCTTAACAGCCGCCATAAAAACAGTAAAAAAAATTGGATCCAGTCACATTTCGGTCGTCAACTTACGACCGAAACAATTTATAACTGAAATTCCAATCCCAACTTTAGTCATAATTTGAAGACTACTTGCATTTCATAGTGGGTTTATAAAGATAGTTAAGTTGAATGATGGAAATAATAAATTCAGGATTTGGGGGGCAGCGGGAGGGGGGGAGAGACGGGGCTTCCTTAGTCCAGCATTCTTGGAAGCCTTTAATAGGAATGCTGGACCCCTTCCATCTCTGCAATTCTAAGCTTACACCAAAGTGTTTATTCCCTTCCTTGGGAGGCTGAAAAACTACAAGCTGTTTGTTTGTTTAAAAGATGTGTATGACTGTCCACCTTAAATGTTGGTACAATGATACATTAGATAGCTAAAAAAACGTTTGAAATAAAAGCTACAATGTTATCTGATCACACTGGGTAATTTAATTAGTTCTGAGTGCTACTGCTGCAGCTTCAGAATTGCAAGTTTTCTTTCATTTGAAGTGATTTTTTCAAATGCCAGGTTCAGGTTACTTTTCAAGGTTGTGTAAACCTATTGTCAACGCTGCTAACATTGCATGTTCTTACTTTGACAACATATGGAGGAGGAATGTGACGGAAGTTAGTTAGGCATAACAATATTGTAATAGTGTGTGAATTCAGGGCTTTTGAAATAAGAGATGATAAGAAATGGCGGGATGGAATAATGGAGGGAAAGCCTGCATTTCAAACTAATTGGAGAATGTGATTTATGACTGTAAATTAGAGGAGGGAATTGTGCTTTGATACTATGTGCTCAGAGGAGGGGAATTCAGATTTTGGCTTCAACTATGTTAGTGCCGAAGCTATGCTACTCCAATAAAGATTCTTTAAGGTAAACAATGCCTCAAAGTTCTTTGAAGAGTTTCATCTGTCGGAACCATAACACCTATCTTGTTTCTTCTGTACGTTCTCTTTCGACTGATATTTATTTGATGGTTAATGAGTCTGGAGCCCATTTCCTGCGGCTTTGTGAATCCAATTGGTATACTTCTTTTAGCTTCTAGTTTAAATGTGTTGGTTTAATTCTGCAAACATACTGTGAGAGGATAGAATAAGTTGATGGGATCCTCATGCCACCTGCCAATTCGTCTGGTGCACAATTTCCTATGCAAATGGGATTTTTTAAATTTCAGATGAAATCTTAATATTATTTCTTGTCTTTATGCAGGACGTGAGGAGCACTTTTGAGAGGTAAGGAACAAATTCTTTTGCAATGAATTACAGTAGTTCAGCTGCTTCTTCTTATAGAGGCTGGCAAGATTGTTATTAACTGTTATCCTCAAAGAAGCAATACAACCAATTTAAAAATGTTGAATATCTGGAGGAATGTGTATTGTGTTCCCATACTGACACCACATTTTCATTTAATTTTTTGAAATTGAAATTAAGGCACCCAGATTCACAGTCTTTAGTGAAGTTTACTATATTAGTTGGGCTTTGAGTTGCATTCTGGGGCCATTTTTCAAAAAACTAAAAAAATAATACCAGGAAAAAAGTCCATTTGACTTAACGTGAATGTTATTTGCAATAAGTTAATAAAATAATAGTTAGTGACATTGTACCATCTTTTTTGATGTTACCAGTAAGCCCATAACATCCAGTTCATAAATAAAATAAAGTAAAAATAAATAATAATTTAAAATGATATAAATAAATAAGAAAACAAAAACTCAAAAGGCAGACTTGATGGACTGCTAGGTCTTTTTCTGCCGTCAATTTTCTATGTTTCTGTGTCTTTGGCCACCTTAGGATAATAACTCTGAAATCCGGTTCAGTAAAGGTATAGATGTGAAACAGCTCAAGATGTGTAGCTTATCAGATCTTCCTTGATCCAAATTGATTGCAAATAGCCCTCGACCTAACGACCACAACGGAGCTCAAAACTTCTTTTGCTAAGCCAGATAGTTGTTAAGTGAGATGTCCCCCATTTTATGATCCTTCTTGCCACATCTGTTAAGTGAATCACTGCAGTTGTTAAGTTAGTAACACAGTTGTTAAGTCAGTCTAGCTCCCCCATTGAAGGTCACAGAAAGTGATCACATGACCCCAGGACACCGCAGCCATCATAAATACATGCCAGTTGCCAAACGTTCAAATTTTGATCACGTGCCCATGGGGATGTTACAGTGGTTGTGTGAAAAATGGTAATAGATCACTTTTTTCAGTGCTGTTGTAATTTTGTACTGTCACTAAACAAACTGTTGTAAATTGAGGACTACCTGTAGTGGTAGCAAAAGTTATTTCAATAGTGTAGTGTGTTTATCAGCTTTGACTAGGAGGCCCGATTCAGTCTTAATTAGGCAGAGATAGGCTGTTGTTAAAAAAAAGGGGGGGGGGCTGGTTAGAAAAATGAGTCAGAGAGAAAGGAACGTGATATGTAATTTTGAATATAAGCAAGAAGAAGGCTATTGAGCGATTAATTAACATATTGTTTATGATAATTAACTATATCTATTATTGTTAGTTAAATACATGTATCCAGACATTATGCTGTTTGCTAAATATTGAAAATGTTATTTGGAAAAACCTCAACCCCAACCCTAACCCAAATCCCAACCCTAATCCCGACCCCACCTTATCCCTAACCTTATAAAAACTAATAAAATCTATATAAAAATAAATAAAAATGGGGGGGCATTCTGAAAGTTGAGCTTGACTGGCTTTTACCCAGTTGTTCTGTTCTCTTCTGTGCAGATGTGAAGAGGCACAAGCCCACGAGTCAAGTCAGGTCTCCGTTGAGCTGGAAAAAAATTTCTACAATTTCCCAAGACAGTACTTCGTCCTGCGCAAAATTATTAAGAGGCTCACAGGTGAGTTAACAACGCTGCATCCAGTATTTTTCCACGTGGCTGGAAAGAGCTTTAAGGGAGAAAGACTCACCTTTTGATCTGATGATCACATCTGGAATCTGGCAGGTCTTGTAAAATGGCTCCAGGCAGCTCTTGACTTACACTCGTGGTTGAGCCTGGGATTTTGGTTATAAGTTGAGGTCATTAAGCAGGTCACAACATGGCCTCACTTTATGACTGCATCCTGACTTTCCCAGGCATGGTGATTAAGTGGAGTGCAGAGTGCCCTGGGTGGGTGAGGCCCGTAATTTTTGAATGGTCACTGAACAAATGGTTGTTAAGCGAGGACTATCTATACTTGCCCATTCACGAAATAATCATCCTGGGCATTTAAACCATTACAAAGTGCTCATTTACTAGAAGGCTGCCTGCTGCCTCCGACTGTTCCTGTGGGGTGCACTTCCTGCTCCCAATGTTTTTTTTTCTCTTTTTCTGGAGAATGTGGCACATTTCCAGGCAAAACCATCAGTTTTCTAAGGAAGCTTGTGGAGTCCAGAGGTGCTGTTGTTTTGCGCTGCACAATGTCAGCTTTGTATTTTCTAATAGGGTTTTTTGATTTTAAATGTGCTAGATGTTGAAATGGACTGATTATGGAGGTGGTGGCGAACCTATGGCACGCGTGCCAGAGGCGGCACCCAGAGCCCTCTCTGTGGGCACGCACGCCGTCGCCCCAGTCCTAGGCCTTCAGCTGGGTGTTATAAAACCTTTTCGCTTTAGGCCTCCACCGCCGTGTGCAAAAAAAAAAAAAAAAAAAGCTCAGTCAATTTCAACTTCTTGCAGGGGAAAAAAAGATCTTGCAAAGTTGGAGTTGATTGATTGAACTTTTTAGTCCCACCCAGTCTTCCATTACCACCGCACCACACCCACCCAATTGGCCACATCCACCCAATGGGCCATGCCCACCCGGCACCCGAAGATGCATAAGTGGGTTTTGGGTTGCAGTTTGGGCACTCGCTCTCTAAAAGGTTCGCCACCACTGGATTATGGCTTGTAGGACTTAGAAGCCTTGCTCATAGGGTGAGGTGGTTCATTCAGATGCCAGGGACACTTTGTATTCAGGATGAATTTGGCAGACTGGGTTTGAATACGCATGGTTTTGTCCCCGTGTACACAGACACGTCCCCGGAAAAGATCCTAGATTGGCATGGAGAGTTAAGATAGCATTTGAAAAGAGATAATATAAGCACTTGGTAGATTCACCTGTTCTTAAATGTGGAAAAATGTGAGTCTTGACAAAGGAAGAAAGCTGGACAAAATGTAGTCATTTTCTAAGCAGAGGAGAGTTATATTTCCATTTATCTGAAAAGCACATAAGAACATGAAAGATGCATTGGTGACAAGCCAAGTGATATCTCAGGTCTGTCAGTGTTTCCTTGCTGTTTCCCTTGGGTTATGCTTTGGGGCAAAATGCATTAATCAGAAAAATTGTCAACTGGATCTTCCAATACCTCTAATGATCTGTCATACAATGCTGTAAAATAAAAATAACTAAGGAGATTTTTTAAAAAGAGGCTAGACAGTCACTTGTCTGAGATGGTATAGGTTCTCCTGCTTGAGCAGGGGGCTGGACTAGAAGACCTCCAAGGTCCCTTCCAGCTCTACTCTATTCTACTCTACTCTACTCTACTCTACTCTACTCTACTCTACTCTACTCTACTCTACTCTACTCTACTCTACTCTACTCTACTCTACTCTACTCTACTCTATAATGTAGATCAGCCTTTTACAATCTGTTATTTTACAGATGTATTCCTGAGAATTTGCTATCACAATACATCTTCTAGAAGGTACCAAATTTGGAAGGCAAATTGAAAGTCATGTTATCCAGTTTAAACGTTTTGTAAATAAAGGGCATTTCCTCAGAAAACTAGTCCAGCTGCCACATGGCTTATATCATAACAGATTTCTTATACTTTTAACTGCCTGGCTGAGGAATTCTGGGACTTGAAGTCCACAAGTTGTAAAGTGGCCAAGGTTGGGGATTTCTCCTGTAATAGTCTAATCATAAGAGAAATGGCAGAGACAAACATATGTCCTTTTTTTTCTGCAGGAGATTTGACCCTTGACCCGGAAACGGCTCACCCCAACTTGCTGCTCTCCGAGGACCGCAAAAGCGTCAAGTTTGTGGAGCAGCGCTTGCGAGATCTGCCCGATAGCCCAAAACGTTTTACAATCTATCCTTGTGTGCTGGCCACAGAAGGTTTTATTTCAGGCCGTCACTACTGGGAGGTAGAGGTGGGAGAAAAGACTCATTGGGCGCTGGGGGTTTGTAAGGACTCAGTAAGCCGTAAGGGGGAAACAACCTCTGTCCCAGAGACTGGCTATTGGCGGGTACGGCTACTCAATGGAGAGAAATACGCAGCTACCACAACCCCGTTCACTCCGCTGCACATCACTATCAAGCCTAAGCGAGTAGGCGTCTTCCTGGACTACGAGGCAGGCAAGCTCTCCTTCTACAACGTGACGGACCGTTCCCATATGTATACTTTTACCGATACTTTCACCGAGAAACTTTGGCCTTTTTTCTACCCGGGAATCCGAGCTGGGCGCAAAAATGCGGCCCCCTTAGTCCTCCGGTCGCCCACGGACTGGGAATAAGGAAATGACCTAATCCCCACCTTCCTTTGCTACGCTTAGCTCTTAAATTGTGTAGAGAGAGTTTTTTCAACTCGGTTTCTCTGTGGGAAAGTGAGCCGGCGTCAGTGGCCTGCAACACCGTCCCCAACCAGAAGAAGCGAAGCATCGCAGAAGGGAAGAGCTTCCACACCTAGTGTTTAACGTTAGGCTTCTAAAGCTATTAAGGTGACGTTACACTAGGAAAGGTTTGGAGAAGGCAAACCTTTGCTAAGGGGCGACAAAGACCTTGTACTTTTCTGTAATCTGCAACTTCAGTTTCTGAAATTTTGGATCGCAGTTGCATCTGGGGGAAGAAAACCTCTTTTAAGCTTAGTATAGTGTTCGGCAACGAGCCATATAAGATTGCATCGGCGATGGGCCAGGCTGGTCAGATGTGGGAAAGGTAACTAGCTCTTCTGTGCACTGTAGAGGGAGGGGTTCTCCCTTTGAAGGGGTTACAACCAGGCTTAACTGTTGCTTGTATAAATGGTGGGGAATGATCTATTACTCGACAGTCTGTTTTTACTGGCAGGTCGAGTGGATGCAGAATAGGAGGAAACTATAGTGCATAGTGAGAATGCTATATAAGCCAGGGAAGCTAAGGAAATAATTCTCTCCAAGCTGATTGTTCAAAGCCACCAGTGGATTGCTGAAGCTTTTTTATTCACTTAATAAGATGGAAAGGACCTTGGAGGTCATCTAGTCCAACCTCCCGCTCAGGCAGGAAACCCTATATCAGGTCGGCAACCTTAAACACTCAAAGAGCCACTTGGACCCGTTTCCCAGAGCAAAGAAAACACTGGGAGCTGGAAAACACAGGAGGGGGGGAGCTTGATTGAAGAGTTTAATTAAAAAGAAATAGAGGCTGCTGTGCATGAGTTCTCTCTCTCTCCCTCTCTCCGATCTTCTGCTCACCTGGCAAGCTGGCTTCACGCTGTTCTCCGACAAGCTGACACACATTGGGCTGGCTCTCTCCTGCCCTTGGTCTGCCAGTCCTCTTCTCCCACTCAGAGAGAGTGAGTGAGTGAGAGAGAATTGCTGCTTCCTGCTTCTTCCTGCTTCCTGCTGAGACACAGCAAAGGCAGGAGCCCTGCCCAATAAACTTGTCAGCTTGTCTGAGAACAGCATGAGGCCACTCTCTTTTTTACACACAGAGAGAGCTGCTGCTTTCTGCTTCCTGCTGAGACGCAGCAAAGGCATGAGCCCTGCCCAATAGGCTTCTCAGCTTGTCTGAGAACAGCGTGAGGCCACTCTCTTTTTTACACACACACACACACACACACGCACACACACACAGAGAGAGAGAGAGAGAGAGAGAAGGGAAGCGCAAGCGCCTCTCTGTCTCTCTCTGCAAATGGCGGAGGAGGCTGGGAGCCGCAGGAGAAGGCTCAAAGAGCCACATGTGGCTCCAGAGCCGCGGGTTGCCGACCCGTGCCCTATACCATTTCAGACTTGTGACTGCAACCAAATGGCAGAGGTGGCCTCTGAAAGAACGAGTGTTGAATCAATCACGATATTAATTTGCTTTCTGGTATGTCTTATGATTTGAAGGCATTGCGATTGCATCAGAAGGGCTAGTGCACAATCTCTCTCAGTTCATAGGGGGTTTTTTTGCCTGTGATATTTCAGCTATGTAACCTTATCAGATGCAAGTAGACTCCCTCAGAGGTAAGTTGAGTGTTGGCCATCTTACCTGGAGGGTGAGACCAATAGCTTATGGCATTTGCCTAGTCAGGGAAATACCAGATTTCAAAAAAAAAAAAAAATAGGGGTCAGAAGTCAAATATACAGTCACTTTCGGTGGAATTTGAATGTCTTCCAGTATTTCGCCACAAATATAATAGCCAGTCCTGTTCTTTCTTCAGTATAACCTCTAGCGCCCATTGACAGGTACAGCTGAGCCAAAATAGACACAGGAGGACATTTTCAGTGTAAAGCTTCCCACCTATCTTCTCCTCCCCCATTATTCAACTGCATCTCTCTTGAGAAGATGGGCATTGGACAAAAGCCAAAAACTGTTTGCATATTCAGAGTCCAGGTAAATTGGGTTGACTGATGTGTCATCGCCCTGTTAGCTACAGGATCTGTGTTGATCTCTCTCAGGCTAGTCTTTGCTAACCTATTGCCCTCTATGTTTGTTAGGGGACAGCTTATACAGTTCCCATGTAACATGGCCAACGGTTGTACATCATGGAAACTTTAATCCCAATATAACCTGCAGCAGCAATTGAAGGCTACCTCCCTTTGAAAGAAAGCCTGTCTTGCTTTGTATTGTTTGGGCAAAATGTTTTTAAAATACAAACAGGAAAAGATAACAGCAAATATGTGGTTAAACAGCATGCAAAATAATAAAGTGGAAGGTATTTCGTGCCTTTATGTGTATGCAATTCTTTTGCCTGCTCCTTTGACCAAAAAAAAAAAAAAAAAACCCACCACCCTAACAAAAATAATATAAGCTTTTGATAAAGGAACCTCACTTGCCTTCGTTTAGCTACCAAGGTTTTATTCTGGATAAAGGAATTCCAAATGAAACAGTTGCAGGGGGAAATCACAGGTCCTTAACTAGTTCTCAATGTTCACCGTTAGATCAGATTTCTCTTCAAATTATGCATGAAATTCTGAATACTTCGTATAGAAAGTATCAAGGTTTAACTTTCAGATTTGAGACGAGCCAAAAGTATAAAACTTCGAAGTTCAACACAGATCATTTTAGACAACAACAACAACAAAAAAAGGGATTGCTATAGAAATGATAATGGAAAGATCAGCTGAAAATGTTCTGGCCGTGAGCTGAGATATGCCACACTAGGATTTTTCCTAACAAATTTATTCCTTAAAAAAAAAAAATCTCAGTCCCAGAATAAAAATATAAATACTAATTGAATTAATAAATAAATAAAATTCCTTGTGTAATAAAATATTCCTTTCAGAATAGTAACTTCCCTGGATAGTAAAGGTGCCTAAGAAGCAAGTACTGGAGCGCATAACACTAGACATGTTACTAGAAGGCAAAAATCACGAAACTGTGTCTCTTGGGCCATGTCATGCGGAGGAACTCACTGGAGAAAACAATTGGGTTAGAAAGAGTTAATTGGTAAAAGGAAACCCAGCCTGCCAAAGAACAAGATGGCTGGACGCCATCAAAGCTGACACCAGCCAGAACATAGAAAAACTCAAAGAAGAAGTGCAAGATCGGAAGATGTGGAGTGACTTGGTCCATAGAATTGACAAGAGTTGGACTCAGCCGAATGGATAACCTCATCATCAGAAAACTAGTGGATCCCATTCACCTACATTGCTTATTCTCTCTCACCCACACAAACAACTGTTAACCCAGAGACACAAGAATACACACATGCTCTGATCCAGAAGTGAGAGGAAGGAAAGGATCAGCTGGGAAATGAAGGGAAGGAAAGCAGAGGGAAGAACAACCTTTGATGGAGCTCAGAGGAGGGAATAAATTCCCAAACGCACAAGGAAAGAAAAGTGCAGCCAATGCTTGATAAAAGAATTAACATTCACTAAGCAAGCAGCACTTTCCAAGAATTTTTATGCTAAAATTCAGAGACGTCCCAAGTTTTTTCAGTAGTGAATGTTGTTTACACTTTCCTAAAGGAAGTCCTCAGGTTACAACAGACATGTCAAACACAAGGCCCGGGGGTCGGATGCGGCCCGCGAAGTGGTTTCATGTGGCCCGCGAAGCCATCCTGGAAACAGTGAGGGAACGGCCCCCTCTGCCTTGGCCCTGGTCCTGGCCCAGGCCAGCAGGGAGCCAATGTACAATTTTGTGATGGCCATCTTGGCACTTGCCCTGGTGGACCATGCCTTGGCACTTGCCCCAGTCCCACCCCCTTCTGCCAGAGACCCTCAGATCTGTCCTACTCCTGCCCAGGCCCCCATAGGCACCTTTGACGCGAATGATGTAGAATTGGCCATGCCCACCCAGTAAGCCACACCCACTCCATGCACGCCACCCAGTAGGCTGCACCCACCCTGGCCACACCCACCCAGCCCCCCAAGGGCAACCGCAATGCTGATGCGGCCCTCAGTGAAATTGAGTTTGACACCCCTGGGTTACAACCACATGTTTAGTGACTGTTTTAAGTTAAAATGGCACTGAAAAAAAGGACTTGTGGCCGTTTTTCACATGACTTGCAGCATCCTCGTAATCATGTGATCGAAATTCAGGCTTGGCGACTGGCATATATTTATGATGGTTGCAGTGTTCTGGGGTCACGTGGTCACCTTTTCAGACCTGATAAGCAAAGTTAATGAGGAAACCAGATTCTCTTTAACAATCATGTTACTAACAACTGCGGTAATTAACAATCCTGGCAAGAAAGGTTGTAAAATGGGGGGAAATTCACTTAACTGTCTTGCTTAGTAAAGAAAATTTGAGGCTCAACTGTGGTCATAAGTCAAGGACTATATGTATTTACCCCTCTCTATTTAGAAGTAATTCTGCATCAATACTGCCCTGTTTCTTCTGATCATTTGGTACATATTCAAAAAAGAATCTTTTATTTTCTGGAAATCTTAGCTTGCTAAACAGTCCTGCCCTTTCACGATCAGAAACCAGATTCTTGTTCTTCATCTCTGTGTCAAGACAGTAGGAATTTTAATAATGTTTATAAATTAGCGGCTATCTTTCCAAAGTTTGGGATGCATTCTCTTTTGGAGTTAAATGCCTGTTAGAAAAACCTAATGCCACTTTACAAGGGAAGATAGAGCTTTATTATTACAGAGAAACAAAGGGTCATGTAACAGATAAGAAAGGAATGTAAAGACAAACATTAAGCTCAGCGACAGAGATACGTTGTGTCAATTAGGATAGGGAGAAAGCAAGCTTTTCTTATTGGAAAAGTTAAATTTGGAAATTCTAGAACTAGGCAAGCACAGACTAAGATTAGTCCTTGACTTATGGTCACCATTGGGACCCTTCCTAACAAGGATGGATTTGATTTAATTTAAATCAAGTTGATTTAAATCACGATTTACTGTAAATCACTCGTAAAAAGGCTTGATTTAAATCAACTCGATTTAAATCATAATTTTTAAAGAGCAACTGTCATCTCTGTCCCACAGCAGCTTCTCCTCTGACCCGCTGTTGACTCGCCGACAGTCCCACTCACTTTAATGGGAAGGCTGGTGATGCGGCAGTGACACAACAAGGTGAGGGACGTGGTGGACAGCAGATCAGTGGATGCCCGCTAACAGGCGCTGCCATGATGGATCTGAAATGACAGGTGCTCTTTAAATGTAATGACCCATTCTTGCTGGTAGTTAGAATCTTTAATATTATTATTTGCAAACAAAATGAAGGTTTCCTATTTAAAATAATAAGCTGCCAGGTTAGTAAAACAGCGATATCAGAACCAATTTTAGGTTAATAGGTTAATCACCCTGCCAACAAAAGTGTGTATAGTCAAGGCCATGGTTTTCCCAGTTGCAATGTATGGATGTGAAAGTTGGACCATAAGAAAGGCTGAGCGACAAAGAATTGAGGCCTTTGAACTATGGTGCTGGAGAAGACTCCTGCGAGTCCCCTGGACTGCAAGGCGATCAAACCGGTCAGTCCTAGAAGAGATCAACCCTGACTGCTCTTTA